AAAAGGTAACCTTAAACACATCAAGCCTCACCATTAAAAAGCCTTTTGATACCTAACCTTGAATGCCTTGTTTAATATCCTTATGATGAGAACCACTGAAACCTTTAATAAATGTTAAGAGCTAGTTGACTGGAAGTTAGTTCTAAATGTGTAGATTTTTGCATGACAGATTAGCGGACTAGTTATGTTTGTATTTTGGTGAGAATTTTTTAGACTTGATCTGTATGATGCATTGTCCATAATTAAGGTCTAGAAGTATGGTTGCTGATATTTTTGAGTTCCCTCTCATTTTGTGTTGAATGATATTTTTCCAGATTTGATCTTGTTTTGTTTGAGGACAAACAAAGTCTTAAGCCTGGGGGAGTTGATAACACCTGATTTTGACCACTTTTCACCATTGATTTCAAATGCTTTTTCAAAGCTTTTACTTAGTTTTAGAAACTTTTATTATGATTTCCATGTATTTGTAGTTTCAAGGCTCTTTTCAGGAAATTTAGGGAAAATGATGGCAAAATGAAAGAAATTCACTTTTTCAGCTCAGAGTCAGACCGTCGGAAGTTTGGTAACAAATAGAGGTCTTCCTACCATCTGCTCCAGCTCAAATTTGGCGAAAATCAAGAGGAGACAACCAGCTTTCCATATCACTTTACATCACAAAGATCCAATGGTGCAATCAAAAGATACATGGAGAACAAGTTGACCCAGTTCACCAGTACCGGAAGACTCTCACCCGCGGGAAACACATGTTTACCTGCCTTGGAAGACTCTCACCCCCGGTGGACCTTAGGACGAGAGCCACAAGGCCCAACATCAAAGCCCACTTCGCCATTCCTCTTCAGAGAAGCCCTAAATGAGACTTGGCAGACCTTAGGACCTATAAGTACATTGTTTAGCAGCCCTAAACGGGTGTGTGCTCCATGAATGAGATTTTGAGCCACCAAACTTTGTTTTTCTAGTTAGGCGATGGAGATAGGGATTCTTCCCTAGATCCATTGTTCTTTCTCCTTTTTATCTTATTAACTTTTCTGTTTCATTCTTTTGCATTCTTCTATCTCTTTTATCATTCATTGCATCATGTAGATTAGTCCCAGAGAGTCAAGTTGTTTGAAGATATCGACAAGCATATATATCGATTAGGATTTCTATTTTTCTAGACCATATTCTGGATCTCATATCTTCTAAGTTGTTCATAAAGCATGAGAGTAGATTCATGACCTATTCTCTGAGCCTAGGATCGATCAGAGCCACGAGAGTGCTGTATCAGATCATCCATACCTAGCTTCAGAAGAACATAGTCTTATAGGAGTCGAAAGCTACCTATAGAGAACATGTGAGCAGACGAATTCAATGTCTAATGCATGATCTTAAGTTTAGCATGAGATCGAGAGTTAATTGCTAGATCTAAGTGATTAAGTTATTAAGGTGAAGAGATTTGGTTAATCATACATATGCCTATTCTAGTTCCATGCAGATTCCCAGAAACAGATGAAGATAAATCGCCCGGAAACTAATTAGAAATGCCATCATACAAAGATTAGAGTAAACCGGAGAAGTCTAAATCGCCACCTATGAGTTTAAGAGTCTTTAGTTTGAGTCGATATGCTTGAGATATTCTTTTAACAATTCATCCTGCATTGCATTTTATTTTTTTAAATCTTAGATTAGGTTTAGTTTAGGATCTTAACCAAAACCCCAAAACTTTTATTGGTTTATGACTTTGCCTACTTCCCTGTTTGTTGTTTCTCGCAGATTAGACATCCTCCTTGTGGATCGATACCCTAAGTCTTACAACGTACATCTGTGCACTTGCAGACACTAGGGTTTTATAAATTTAAAACTTTTGGAGGACCAACAGGCTTGTTAAAAAAACAACCCTAGGCCCGCAAGCCCATCACAACGTTGTTTAGCCGCACCCCGAGAAGCTTAGGCAGTCGAAGTCCTATGCCGCGATGCCGCAGCGTGTGACGAAGGTATGACCTATCCCATTATCCCTTGATTTTGTCTAAGTGTCGAAGTTTGATGCTGACCCTCTTCTTTTCCCTCTTTGTTTTAGTTTTACGCTGCGGTGAACGAGCTGATGGCTGGTTACGAGGCCGACGCGCTCAAGGACGACGGTCGCCTTGAGAAGGCCAAGCAGGACGCCGCATCGTTCAAAGCCGAGCTTGAGAAGGCTTCGAGTGAGAATGCCAGAGCGTTAGCCCGGATCGACGCACTAGAGGAGGAAAAAAGGGCTCTAAGGGCAGACTATGACAAAATGGCCTCTCATTTTGAGGAATCGCGGGCAAGGAAGAAAAACAAAATTGCTCCTTGAACAGGCAGATTGCGGCGAAAGATTCCCTTCTCGAATCGCGGGTTAATATTTCCAAAATGGAGGCTAGACGCGAGGAAGCAGCTAAGTTCCAGGACCGTCTTTCCAAGATCAAGAGTAGATGGAGGAACTGGAGAAAGCCAAGAGAGACGAGAATGACCTCGGCCAGATCAGAAGCAACCTTGTGCTTATCTGATATGATCATGGATATGATCAAAGACTTGGAGCTTGACTCAGAGCTTCAACCAGTGGATAAAGGACTTGAAGATGTTGAGCCACTTTGTGCGTCACATGGACCAATAACCTGAGCCAGAAGTAAGAGATTCAAGGAGTCAATCGGAGTTTTACTTAGTCATATTGGATATCGACTAAAGTACTTGGGCCAGGATGAAGAAGATGAATTACAAGCCACCTTGGTTTTAATTCAGGTCCAAGACTAATAAACAAATGGACAAGTAACCCATTTGTGCTCTTTTTCCCTTACCTTTTGGTTTTGTCCCAATGAATTTTTCAAAGGAAGGTTTTTATTGAGGCAATGGAGTTCACTTTCACAGAAGCCCATTTGTTGACCCAAGACTCAAGCCCAGCCACAAATTCGACCAAAGAAGCTCAAGGGTTTAAGCGGAGAAGGTGTCTAAGAGTCATTCAAACTTTGTGTTTAATTCTCTTTAAGTTTTCTTGTTGACTAAGTTAGTTTCTTTTCTTTCTTTATAAGTTGATGTAAACTCTTTGCAAAAATAATCTTTCATAATCATTTTTAATCAAACATATCAAACTTTGAGAGAACTTCTCTTTAGTTCCTTGTGAACGGTACTTTGTTTGCTGTGTAATATCCATTTGATCATCTCTTGTCTCGACTTGGTGTGTCATATCCAAGGAGATAAGTTGGTAAATCAGAAGCTATTCCGCAACTTCTTTGTGACCTTTCGATCCACCCATTTCTTTTACGTCTCACGATTCATTTGAAGATAATCTATCCACTTCACCACCTTCTAAGTGCCGATTCAGGGAGGATCATATCATTATTATTGATCTCCGGAAGCCTGGCGATACTCTCGACGCCGAGGAGGAGAAGCTGAAGGGCTGGGAGGCTGAATTGATCAAAGCGGATGAGACGTTTGAGCGCAACGCAACAGATCTTAGGGGCGAGCTAGTTGTCTTGCCGGTTTCAACGGATTCCATTTATTCTCGTCTCAGTGCCGTGCTGCTAGAGGTCACCGCTGCCGCCATCGGAGTTACTGATCCCACGGATTCCAACATTGATACCCCAAGAGCTGGTGATCTTTCCGCCGAGTCTGCCTCCGAGTCGCGCCAAAGGAAGTAGCTTCTGGATGTCTTTTCTTTGTTTGTTTATGTTTTTTTAACTTATGTGTGCCTGGACGGCTTTATCTGTACTGTCTTCCTGTTATCTTTGGAACCTTATGCGTGGATGGCTTTATCCAACTTTTCTTTTATATGATGATTTCATTGATCTTTGAAGAATATTGTTGCCTTGGCTGTTATTTGTATGCATCGGATCTTATCATGTCGAACCGTTTTAAATCAACATTATCTGACGATGAGATGAGGGTTAGATAATTTGTCTGAGTCATAAAGAGTCTATTTTCCGTTTTTTCCGAGCTTGTAAATATGTTCTTGGCCGGATCATTTTAGAGAACTGGTTTCTATGTGAAATTGATCGTTTTTGACGATGCATTAAGCCTTAAGAGATAAGGTTTTTAGCGTAATCGAGGTGTTAAACCATAATTATTTGTTGACGAGAGGAGAACTGAGATGGACTTTAGAGAGATGGTGTTGAATTGTTCTCTTTGAAATATGATGAGGACCGGCGTTTCCGAGCTGGTAAATATGCTTAGCCGGTTTTTAGAATTCATTTCGGCCTTTAGAGAATGCGATGTAGTCTCGACTAAAGTTCATGTATACAATGGTGAATTAGAGCGACCAATGCATTTGGTCTAGGATTTATATAGCGCGCTTTATTTTTATCCATAGAAGATGTTTCTTGCACCTCAACTCGTCCAAGGAAATGTGGTAAAAAAATCCACTTAGAGAACTTTGTATGTGTTGTCCCGTTGTGGCCAGTAACGAGGCGAGGTGTAATCTGTGAAATATGCTAAGTCAAAACTTAACACGTAAGTTTTTATTCTTGTTCGGAGTATGTATGGAGATCCTACCGAAATGAGGTATTGACTAAGTAATGAAAAGTGACGAGCCCAAGGCAAAGTAACTGCTAAGTGTCGAAACTAAGAGCAAGGTCAAAGATTTGATGGCAAAAAGAAAGTGACTGGAAAATGTGGACATCAACAGCTCTATCATCTCTTGTTGTTTTGCATAATATCCTATTTTTTCATAAATTAAGGTAATCCTAAACACATCGAACATCACCCCTAAAAAGTCTTTTGAATACCTAGGCTTGAATGCTTTATTTATTATTCTTTTGATGAGAACCAATGAAACTTATATGTTCAGAGTTATTTGACTAGAACTTAGGTGTAAGTGTATAGATTTTCGCATGACAGATCAACAGACTAGTTATGCTTGTATTTTGGTTAGAATTTTCAAGACTATACTCGATATCCAACAACACTTATCCTAATGGATAATTTAATTAATGTTACCCCAAATAACAATAGATGAATCAAAATGGGAGATGCATGTGGTGATCGGACTCAAGAAAATGACATAACTCAAGAAAACGTAATATAAAAACGATCAATAAAAAATGCATGGAAAGAAAAACAAGAATTTTGAATTACAAACAATATTGAGACCTCGAGTTGAGATCACTTCAAACTATATTAATACTACATCCTCTCTCATTATAACCTCACATTTCTTGGCAAGAATAACATAGAAATTATACCAGTATCAATACCATTTTACGTAATCGTACGTCTTTCTTACAAAGGCCTAGTATGTCGTCCTTTTGCCCGGCCGCATAGACGTGAGTTCTTCGGGATAGGGTACTCATCTCTCAAAGACGTCGATGTCGTGAAGACACGCAAGTAGAGCTGTTGTCCCAAGTATTGTCTTGCCCAAAACTCTGATCTTATGTTCCACATTCCCACGTTGTCCAAAGCAATGTAAATGGCTGTCCATGATTTTGGGTACACCTGAATCGCCAAATATAGACCATGTTATTAATTAGAACAAGAAAGAGAAAAAGCGCAATCTGTGAGGAAGCAGAGGGGAAAATAATGCTTTACTTGGACGGTGGAACGTGACACTGCATCACGTAGATTGTACCCATTTCTACTTCCTGTATTCCACTGTCCACCATCCATCCTGAATTTGATTTAAACACACCATACTTTTTCAAAATTAGACTGATAAAGACATAGAAAATATCATATGAAGGGTGTGAAGATAAATATACCCAACAACCCAGAAGGAGTAACCATTGAGATGATAACTTTGGACGATATCTTCTTTGTTTTCGAATATAATCTCGATAAATGTCCGATAGTCAACTTGCAAAACAGAGGTGTCAAGGTATAAACCTCCACCCGTGGGTTTGTCAGAGATGCTATTGATCTTATAGACTCCACTAATCTTGAAGAAGTCGGCAAGTTTTAGAGGCGTATCCGCAGGCACAAAGGAGACACTATTGATACCGTATCTTTGCTTCCCATTTATCTGCCCGGCTGAGCTACCGAATACAATAGTCCTAATGAGCGGTATTAGACCATAATGATATGAGCCTTGAGGGTTTGGTCTTGGTCCACTAGCTGTCAAGTTGGTTCTACGAAATAGTATAAACCAAATTCATAACCATTAATTAGAACATTAAAAAATATATATATATGGAGCGTAAAACACTAAGCCACCTATGCAAGAAAGACTACCTGATTGCTCGGGCTTGGTTCAAGGACCAATCGATCTGAATGGTGGGACCACCGGGGACTGAACCAGAAGCTGAGGTCGACGAGCCACTGTAGCGGAGAACACCCATGGTTGTTATGGTTTTATCGGTGAATCGAGATGACACAACCAGGTAATAGTCACGAGGAGATTGGTCAGCAGTAATGAGAACAGAATAAGACTGGCCAACATGAACGTCAAGTGAAGAAAACATAGTTTGAAGTGTGTGCGTCCCTTCGACTTCCACAAGTTTCATCCTATGGTTTTGGATCCTGAAGTTTAGAGAGTTTTGTAATCCAACGTTTGATATCCTCAGCCTGTATGTTTTACCTATATTATATGCGTAAGAAAGGATATTAATTGAACGAACAAAAAATAGGAAATAGACAAAGACAAACATACCTTGCTCAACATTTAAGGTAGCACCGTTGCTTCGGCCATTAATAAGGATACCATCAGGCGAAGGTAACTTCTTTCCTTTATCAAGACGAGACTTCAAATCCTGAGGAACAGACAATAGCGTTAAGAGAGAATATTCCTAAATATAAACACTTGATCATTCTAAATATAACATTTCCATGAGGTTGAAAAATAACACTATATCTAGTTCATAGTAGATGTTGGTGTAAGAGTGAGTATTTTGTTTCAAAATTACCGTGTGATTAGATTTGTACCAATCTCCAATGAGGACAGTGTAATCTCCTGCTGGATCAGCAAATGGAACTGGGATTCCGGGACGGCTAAGGATTCTGATGCCTCCGAATCCACCAGCCGCCTTGTGAAAGGCAAGTGATGGGAAGTAATAGAAGCTTCCAATTTGGTCTTTCACTTGCAAAATGTATGTGTAGTTGGCCCTCGGTGGAATTGGACAGGTTGTTCCGTACATACCATCGACATAAGAATTTCTTCTGTTCTGTACTCCATTCCTGTTTTATCCATTACTATAACTATTAAAGAACAGCGAATACATATAAATGTGTATGTACTAAATTCTCTCTATAGTCAGATTTTCAAATGCTATTTAAAACTTTGTTTTTTTGCAATACAATATATAGTGAATTAAACTATTAGTATGTTATATTTATTCCATAATATACAGATCTATAAAATACTAGATACGTAACTGCATATATACGGATTCATAATTTAATATTTATAATCCATATAAAAATGAAAAAAAAAAGAGATTATCCTAAATAAAGTTATCAACAATCATAAAATTATTGAAACACAAAATAATTGGACTACAATACTTTAAACATAACTATATTAATGTATGCATTAACTTAACGTGAGTAACACGAAATAAATATTATTTGTAACTTATGAATTAAAAAGATTAGCAAAAGATTTTTTGTTTGTGAATTTATAATTTATTTTTAAATTTCCTGCTCAATAACTATATAGTTTTTTTCTTCTTTTTTTTAGAGATTGTTTTTTTCCTCCTTTTTTATATATTATTTTTTTCTTTAATCTAAACATAATTTTTGAATTTTACGTTTAAGATTAGCTAGAAATCAATTATTAAATTTAACTTTTAAAGAAAATTTGTAAAATATAATTAAAATTAAATAAATGTGTTAGAATCTAATCAACTGACTTGAACATGTGTTACGATCAATTGAATTAGCGACTTTGAAACATCTTCTTTATTTAATAAGATCATGTTCTTTTTTATAAAAAAATAATAATAATATCTTTTATATATTAATAACATTTAACTGATATATTATTTACATTCATGCCACGATGATGTCAACACTTGAACACTTGAAAACCTCTTAAAAAATATAAAAATTGGTTTAAATTACTAAAATATTTACATTATACGCCTCTCACTGTTAGAAAATCCATTATATTTCTATTAAGTATTATACTAACGGTTTGTAAAAAAAAAAACCATAACAATTATACTATCTTCTTTCTAATTTTAGTTTTTACAATTGTATTATATTAAATGTTATATTTAGTTTAATTTTTGTTTGATCATATATTTGTAAAATATTGAACCATCAAATAATCTATATAATAGAAAAACATAGAAGTTATTTCACATATGTCATGATTTGAATTTTGTAATAACAAATATTTTTTGGTAAAATATATAATTGTAATGACATGATTTGAATTTTGTAATATCAAATTATAAATGTTTCATAATATATATGATTGATTGCTATTTAAATGAATAAAAAAATAGATCTGCATCACCTCTGATTCCAAACAAATCGTGGAGGCAATTACAACCGGATCATCAATATTGGAAATTTATGAGATTTTTCAAGATATCTTTAACCTATCCTCTTGTTTTATCGATGTTTCTTTCATTTCTATACCAAGAGAAGTCAATTTGGCGGCTGACTATCTTGCTAAACTTTCCCTTGGTACTTTTTCGTTGGTATAGGAGAATGGGTTGGTTTAACTGAATTAATGAATGAAATTTAGAAGAAAAAATAAATTAAAAAAAATAAAAAATTGTTGCTTCTAATCATTTAAAGGTTAAAGCGCATTATTGTACCAAAAAAAAGAAATTTGAATAGAATAGAAAACAAAAAACATTATGTTTACAATAAAAATATGATCATTACAGATTTTGGTATACACAACCGTATCTCGAATCCTAGATCAATATGATAAATTTTGTGACTAAAACTATTTTTGATTTATTTAATAATCATTTCACCTCACATATACGCACGAATCTGACATAGTACGCTATTTATTTATGAAAATGCTATTGCAAAATTTTTCAATTTAAATTCTGCAAATGGCTATCTATCTAATAAACTCTATAAATAATCACCAAACCTATGATTCGTTAAAAATTAAGACTGATGAAACTTAAGATCCTAAATAACATTAAAACCAAAAATAAAATAAAAAACTTAAGAAACTGAAAAAAAGAACTCTATATATAAAACTTAAAACTATATGCATTAAAATATAAATGTTTTGTGACTTTTCTTATTGGGTTGTTAAAAATGTCATGAATATGGCTATAGTTAGTGGAAATGGGTGGGGTGGGGTCCTGCTAAAAGACAACGTAACTTCAACGACATTCTGATGTCGCCGACATGTTTCGCCGAAAGGGCTGGTCCGGGTGGTATACAGCCACAGCCAATGAATACGGGACACAGGTGGCGAAATGTGGACTACAATATAATTGTTATGTAACATGGTAGTTAATGATAGTATCATCATTGTGTTAGTAGGTAAAATCAAAATATTGACACGACAAAAGAAAAGTTGTCTCTCACTAATGGCAAAGCCAATCTTTCTTTTTTTTTGTGCAACAAATGGAAAAGCCAATCTCTCAGCTAGTTTGCAAGAAATGGCAAAGCCAATCTCTCACTCAGCTAGTTATCTTTGATCAATCTTTCATAAGAAACTGTTTTAATACACCTATATATTTTCCGTTAATCGTTACAGATGGCATATAAGTCATTATGGACCGTCTCCAAAGCAACACATGTTTTGCTTTCGTAATAGCACGGCTTTCTAAAATTATTTGTTCTATTTTATCAAACTTTATATTATAAAGGAGAAACCGGCGTCCCAAATCTAGCCTATAATTTTTCATGTCAATTTAACAAATGTCTCTCTGTATTTATTTTTACAATTAGTAATCACATTACCGTGATTTTTATTTTTTACTATTAAAAATCACAGATCTGAACCGCTAAAATATACTATCACATTAGACAGTCTAAGTGAATCGGAGATGATAGTAGAAACTATCTAACAAAATATAGCAAACCCTAAATTTACTTTAGGTTTTTTTTTTAAGTAAACTCGAATATTTAGATGATAAAAAAGAGAAAGTGGCTACTCAAAAAAGAAGAAAAGTGGACCAAAATTGTTCTAAAGGGTTTTTTGCGATCATAAATTCCATATATAACCTTCAGATTTAACAAGACAACATCATAAAACTACAGAAGGTGAAGAGGATAAAGTAGTAATTACAAAACAGGAAGAAAGAATCGTTACCATGAGATTAAGAAAGGCTCATCTAAGCTGTTGTGTACGTTAATGATGAGATTGTCGTTTGTCACACTGTGAATATCGGGACCCGGAAATTGTCCATTAATCAAGATTCCCTATATTTTTCATACCAATAAAAAAACAATTAGCATCATCGACTGTTTCAATTCACCGGATCTAATCTTCAAAGGTAACAATATACAGAGAAATAGTCACATGTTTTTAGTCAACTAGACGTTAAAGCGATCCAGGCAGGAATAATATTGTTTACAAAAAAATATAGTAACTTATGATTTACCAAAAATATGAAAAATTAGTAACTTATTTCATAAACTATTGATTTGCACGACATTAAAAAAAAAATCGTTGAAAAATACTTATTTTGGTAAAATAGTTAAGAAGAAATTTGTAGTCTGTATGTAAATAGGTTTCAAAAAGAGTTTCATTTCATTTTTTGTCTTTTTTGGCTAAATTTTTGTTTTTGCTAAACAAAAAATTTAATAAAATGAGTTCATAACGTGAAATTGAAAACCTGTTGACGAACACCGAGGGGGTAGATGTCACCGTATGTTACATTCCAGTTAAAGAATCGGTATGGACTCTCGCCGGTGACGGCGACAAAGAATGAGAGGCAGATCAATAGTACGGTGCCTGCGGATCTACCCACCGCCATCATTTTTAATGAACGACGGCGTTTCTTGTGGAGAGAAAGAATAAAGAAAAAGAAAGAGAGAGGGAGAGAGAGTGAGTGATATGAGTGGACACACAGAGTTATGTAAATTTAAGTGCGTCGAGGGGGAGGGCGAGAGAGTTCCTCCTAACTTGGCACAAGAAACAAAAAGAATATATAATACATATTTAAAAACTTGAATACAATTAATACAAGTAAAAACGATGAATCTACTGCGTTGACTTAAGGAAAGAAACCAATTGATCCAATTATAAATTGTTTTCTTCGTAAAACATGGACCTTTTTAGCGATTGCTTGGTATAGACTGTTAATTTATACTTTTACTTTAACATTAAGTTTTTTAAAAAAAATTTTACTGTTAAAATAAAAAATACGGTTTAAAACAAAGCAAAATCCTAATAAAAGTGTCTTAAAAAACTTAAGGGCAGCTGCGACTTTAAAAAGCTTTAGAGAAAATTAAAAAGGAAAAGCATACTTTGAAATATTTTTGACTTTGAAAACTTGGAAGAAAAACATCTTAAAAGCCTAATATCAAGCACACTATCAATCGGAAACTTTTATACTATTTAAAATAAAAATACTTTTTGTGTTCAAACTGGATTTTTATTATTTAAAATTATTCTGTTTTTAGATAGCTATTTTTGTTGCCAAACAAATATTTTATTTGATTTTTCTAATTTATTTATTTTCGAAAATTAATAAAAAAATATATCTAAATTTCATATTTAAAAATAATTCTAAAAATTTAAAATTTAGCTTCAATTATTTTAGATTTTCTTAAATGTAGTTTAGATTAGTTATCAAAATTATAAAAATCAGTTGTTATTATCTTTATAAATAAATATAATATAAGTTTATGTTATATTTAGATATTTAAATTAAAATAATATTTTCACAATGACATAGATGATAAATAATACTATTATATATTTTTTCATAGTTAATCTAAAATTTAAAATTTTTAAAATTAATAACTTTATATTATATAGTAATATAAACGGATTGGTTAGAATTATGTTTTTAAAATTATGGTTCTTTTCAGATTAAAATTTTATTTTTATAATAATTGTCAAATTTTATTAGAAAAATATATTTAAAATATAAATTTATCTAAACACAAAAATATATGTCATTTATTAAAAAAGTATTATATTTATTAAAAATACAAATTATATTGCAAACTAAATTAAAAAGATAAATTTCCGCTCTTTGCACGGGATAGAATCTAGTTATTAATTAAAATAGTAAGTTAGCCGCTGATGCGTGCTAGGGTTAGCGGGTCGCAAATAAGTTTTAAATTTATAAAATCCTAGTATCCTACAAATGCATAGTCGTGCGGTGTAGTACTTAGGATGTCGCTCCACAGGAAGAATGTCTACTCTGCAAAAACTTCAAATTGGGATTAGTAAACGAAATAATAAATTCAAGGGGATCTTTGTTGGTTTTGGTTTTTACGGAAAAAGAAAAGACAAAATAAAACTAGACCTAATTCTAAACTAATCGATAAAGGACTAAAAATGAAATAAGTTTGAGGTTCTTAGGACAATCAAGAGGATGCTTGATTCAAAATAGGTTTCTAAACTCATAGGAGTCGACGTAGACTTCCCCTGTTTACCCTAATCGATATCTAAGTATCTTCCGACTAGTCTCAGGTAGAATATCTTAATTTGTTTCTAGGATCTGCATGAAACTAAAACAGGAAATGATAAATCCTCGGTACAATTTGGCCACAAATTCTCAGAGGAAATAAAACAGGAAATGAAGCATATTTTAGGAATTACAAAAGATGGAGGCACGGAAGCTTATCTCGGCATCCCGGAAAGCATGGGTGGAGCCAAAACAAAAATCTTCAATTTTGTAGCAGAAAGATAACATGATCAGATCAATAGCTAGACCTCTAGATTATTATCAAAAGGGGGAAAAGAAGTTCTTCTAAAATCGGTGGCATCCGCAATGCCTATTTTTGTTATGTCATATTTCCGGTTACCTAAATCAACATCGGCAAAACTAACTAGTGCAGCGGCGCGATATTGGTGGAGTACGAATGGTCAGCAACGTGGAATGCATTGGTTGGCATGGACAAAAACGTGTAGACATAAGACGGAAGGGGGAATTGGATTTCGTAATGTGGAAGACTTCGACACAGCTTTATTGGCAAAACAACTATGGCGACTAATTGATAGACCTGAGTCTCTATTCGCACGTGTGTTTAAGGGACGATACTTCAGGAGTACTAATTCTTTAGACCTGGTACATTCTTATTCACCATCTTATGGATAGTGACGCATAATCTCGGCTAGATCTCTGGTTAATAAAAGGCTAATAAAAAAATTTGGATCAGGGTGCTCTATCTCAGTATGGAATGGTCCTTAGATATCTTCTTCTCGCCCGAGATCAGCCATTTGTAAGGGTTTTAATTATTATCCAGATTTTATGGTTAATCATTTGATTGACCCTGTGACAAACACTTGGAACCTAGGATTAATAACGGCAATTATTGACCCAAAAGATGTGGACACTATTAAAGGCATGCCCATTAGTAGATCATACAGGCCGGTCTCTCTGGTCTGGCATTCCACAAAGACCGGAAAATATACGGTAAAATCAGGGTACCAAATTGAACACTCTGCGAAAGAGGGAGATTCAAAGGAGGTATATGGGTCAGACATCAGGGCATTACATGCCTATACTTGGAAATTGAAATGCCCCCAAAGTTAAGACATTTTATATGGCAAGCAATATCTGGCTGTCTCTCAGTATCGACTAGGTTAGTCACTCGAGGAATACAGTGTGATACACAATGTGCACGGTGTGGAGCGGAGAAAGGAACGATCAATCATGTTCTTTTTGAATGTCCCCCTGTCCTACAAACCTGGGCATTATCACATATATCAACACCCCCTGAAAAAATTCCCAAGCCATCGGTTTATTCAAACTTTGATCATCTATTTTGGAGAATTCCAAAAGAGATGAATTCTACACAATTTCCCTGGATTGTGTGGTACATTTGGTGGGCACTGAATGAGAAAATGTATTCAAAAATAGATATGGATCCACAAGTGACTTTGAAAATAGCGGAAACTGAAGCAGCTCTATGGGAGGAGGCTCAAAGCTCCGAACAAGAATTATTACTCTCACATCTTGGCAAAACTACAAACCACTCAACACCGGTTTTCCACGATGGCTGGTGGTGTTATATGATATGTTCATAATTTGCATCATTTAGGTTGCATAAATCATTCCAAATCATGTTTTATTTCATGCATTTTAGGTCCTTAGGGTTTGTTTTAGAACTTAGGAGATGCATTAGGTCCCAATCAGTCTATTGCATGTTTTGAGTGTCTATCAGGTGAATGTGGAGCTGAAAAGATGAATCAAGGAGGTGGAATGGTGAGCAAAGCTTGAAAAAGTGGAAAAATTGGGTCCTGGGAGATTATCGGCCATTCTCGCTGGCCAGGAAGGTTTTACCGGCCATTTCCATGTACCGCGGGAAGCTTTACCGGCCATTTTCATGTACCGCGAATGAAGTGTATCGGCCAAAATCTCCGGGTATGAACGCGTCTCAGAAATCGCCTGTCCGGGGAGCCTTCCGGTCCGATTCAGACGGCGGGTGCTTCATAGAAGTTGGAGAGCATTGCATCACGGTCTCTTAGCAAGTGGAATCGTGGAATTCGGACGCGTGAGCAGAGAGATAAGCTTGTCGGAAGGAACCCCAGTCTCGCAGGTATTCCGGACCGAACAGATCAGTCCTAAAGGATGCGAAGGACGGTGCACTTCCAGGCCGATTTAGTTTCCGGGTCCTTCATGAGAACCAGAGACATTTGAGTCTTCTTTCCAGAACGTCCAAGAGCATTCAATTCGGATCTATGAGCAGAAAGATACACTCTCCGGAATGGACACATGTCTAGACGCCTCTCTCTGGTCGCGTACATGCACTGCAAAGATGTGCCCTCCAGGAAGCCTTACACTTCCCAAGCACCGAAGTTTCCTTCACCAAAGTTGGAGATAAATGAGTCCTCTGTCTTCAGCAACCGAAATCATTCAATTCGGACAAGTCTCATAGGAGTTACACTCTCCGGAATGCGAAGTGGTCTAAGCTGCTCTGGATGCTGCGAGATGGTCTTGCGACTTGGTTAACCCGCAGGCCTGAAGATGAACGCCTGAATGCTGATGCTGCGAGTTGATATGTGCGGGTAAACTATCACTGGAAGAGGTCTGAAGCTCAAGAGCAAGAGAAATGCTAAGTCCACAATCGTGCGACTTAGGCATGCGAGTTAGCCGCGCCTGGAACTATGCCGCACGATCACTCGCAAATCACTCCGACTTGAGCCTGCGACCTGGGTGCAATAGAGACCAACCCGCACAGTTTGTACATTCCCCAGAAACCGCCTTAGCCCTGCGAGTCGGAGAGGAAGGAGTCCAAGCCGCAGCAACACTCGCAAAACACTCCTACTTAGGCGTGCGGCTAAGACAGGGCGATTCAGGTTTCACAAGACAAGTCTTCATCTACTGCGACTTAGGTGTGCGACCTGGGACATACTGGACCGACCCGCAGTAACTCCCACTTTATCCATTAAAGCCGGGTCAGGACCCGGTTTGTTCCGGGCTGACCCGGTTCGTTTTTAAGGAAGTATAAATACTTTTTAGGGTTTTTTTTTTTTGGGGGAAGAACTATGTTTTATTCCCTTTGTCTCTTGCCTCTTTGGTGAAAAGACTCCATTAAGAAGAGAAATATCTTTATTTGAGTGTTTAATCAAGAGAGTTTAAAGAGATCTGGGTGTTTAAAGCTGTTTTCTTTTGAATCTATCATCTCCATCTCCATTTCTCATCATTAATCATGCTAATCTACTCAACTTGCAAAGGTTTAAGAGAGATTAGTATGATTAGTGAGTAGTCACCTTAATGAGGTTCTAGATGTGTAGGTTAGGGTGCTAAAGTGTTAGATTAGGAGTGCTTAGGGCTAGATTCATTGATTCATCTCTCTAAACAGCTGTTCTCTATGCTAGATCCTTGATAATCACTTGAGATCTAGATTCTGGGAATTTCATGCACCAAAAGTGTTTGATGAAATTCCTGAAAGAGTTGTGTTAGAGGTTTAAGTAATTTTTCATCATGGGAATGATTT